ATTAGTATTATTTACTTTTCTGAGAATAAAACCTAGAACTTTTATCTTCTCACTCTTCAGATAATTAACCACAGATATTTACTGCGCAAGGAGCCCAGTGGTGTAATGGTTAGGAGTTGGCCTGCCAACTACAAGGTCAGCAGTTCAAAACCATCAGCTGCTCCACAGGAGAAAGATGGGGCTTTCTGTTCTTATAAAGAGTTATCATCTCGGAAACCCACAGGGGCAGCTCTACCCTGCCCTAAAGGGTTCCTCTGAGTCGGCATCGACTGGATGGCAGAGCGAGTTTACTGCCATCCTGATGGCTTTACAGTCCCCTCCTCTCACCTTTACATTCACATCCAAACTGCTCTATGAATGTCATGCTCGTCCCTTGTCTTTTGGCCCCATCTTTGGAGAGCCCCTCTTCCTTAAAGGATGCTGTCCTTGTCTCGAATCGAAATTATCCACATCCTTCAAGGCACATTCTTTCAGAAGTCTTTCACGTCCCTTTCTGAATGCATATGAACACATACAGTCTATACAAAGTGACAGTGCAACTGAAGATGTTTTTTCTGTAGTTGGACGGGTAGCTTTGGCTGCTAAACGAGGCTATGAGTGGGGGCATATTTCTCAGAACTCTTGACCATGATAGACATGAAATACAGTACAATCCTACTAAATATCCACAGATTGATTTCTACCATCATTTGGTAAAGGTTTTTGAATAGATTATAGCAATTAGAATTCTAGCCTAATATATGCTCTCATCTGGGGCTTCTTTGGCATCCTGTTAATTATTATAAGTTAATTCACTTTTTAAAATTCAGTGACTTAAATTCTGTTTGATGCATGTCTACTGTGCATCCTATTCTTGTAATCAGTATGAACTATTCTACTTTACTTTTATCATTTCATCTATAAAGTTTAACATATTAACATGGTCCACTATTTTACATCACTCTACATAGATTCTATTCTATTGAATTCTAGTCAATGGAGTTTGTCTGATCCATTCCCTAATTGTTGAGAATTTAGGTCTGATGTTTTTCCCTCCTCCCTAGCATTTCTCTTCTAAAAACAATATTAAGAACATGTTTGTACAAATTACTTTGGGGTAGGGGAAAAGATTAAGTTTGAAGATTAATATGCCCCAAATAAAACTGTCAGGTCTGGAGTATAAAATTACCAAGTGTTGTATCATCTGATCCAAAAACCCTGGTCCCATGAATTTGACCAAGGAATACGCACTGGCTCAAAGACCATCTTTTTTTACATTTTTTTTTTATGGACAGATTTATTGTCTGGTAGAAGCGTTCTATCCAATATGGTTTACATTGAATTCTGATTAACCAGCTAAGCAGAAACAACCACATCACAAAAGAAGCAAGGGAAGTAGAAGCAGAGAAAGCAGTTCCTTTGAAGAGTGTCTGGGAGCTGACATTTATTTTCTGCAGCATTTAAACTCTTCAAGTACCCAATTACCTTTTTCCTGAGATGCACTTATATGCTGGCTCAATTCCCATCTGTCCTTACAACGGACCCTCATTATGTGAGGTAAGCCGAGAGAGTCTTACAATCCTGAGCTGTCTTAGATGTAGGAACGCCTACTCCAGGAGAAATACTAAGCTCCTTATTAATCACCATGTCCAAGCGCTCTACCAAGCAGGGTTCTTGTTGCTTGGTGCCGTCAAGTTGGCCCTGACTCACAGCAACCCTGTACACAACAGAAGGACACACTGCCCGGTCCTGCGCCACCCTCACAGTGGTTCCTGTGCCGGAGCCCATTGTGGCGGCCACTGTGTCTGTCCATCTTGCTGAAGGTCTTCCTCTTTTTTACCGGTACGTCCTATCTCCTTAGTTCACATGACAACCCTGTGAGGCCGGTGGGAAACAAATGAAATGACAGATCAAAGAGCCTCACTCTCCTTGCAAAGGGTGCTCTATGGGAGTTCATGTTTTGGACACAGGATGAGGTAGATGCCCAATCTGATTTGTTTGTCCACTTATGTTTCCAATAGTCAAGAACACGAGCTGGTGAAAATACTGTTGCTTCCCTGAAAATTTACTTTGTTAAAAAAAAAAATCTGGACTACCGATTCTATTGCATTGATTTATGTGTCTGTTCTTATGTCAGTACCACATAGTCTTATTGCTCGCTTTTATAGTATGTTTTAAAATGGGAGCTGTGAGTTCTCCAACTTTATTGTCTTTTTCAGGATGGTTCTGATATATGGGTGTCTTGCATTTCTGTATAAATTCAGCTTGTTAATTTCTATGAAAAGGCAGCTAGAATTTTGTCAAAGATGGCACTGAATTAGATCAATTTGGAGAGTCTCCCGACTTAATAATATTAAGTCTTCCAATCCATGAACATTGATGTCGAAATGGTCCCCCACCCCACCCCCCACCCCCCACCAGTCTTTAATTTTTTAAAGTGATGCATGTAGCCTGGTATATAAGTTGTGTATTTCTTTTATTAAATTTATCCCTAAGTATTTTATTCCTTTTGAAGCAAACTGTCATTAAAATTCTTTTCTAAATTTTATTTCTAGATTGTTCATGGCTAGTGTATAGAGATATACTTTTTTAAAAAAAAGAATTTTACTGGGGGCTCTTACAGCTTTTTTTTTTTTCTCTTACAGCTCTTATAATATTCCATACATCATTTGTATCAAGCATATTGGTACATAAGTTGCCATTATCATTTCCAAAGCATATTCTATTTGAGCCCTTGGCATAAGCTTCTCTTTGTTCCCCCTCCCTACCCCACCCTCATACCCTCGTGAATCCTTGATCAATTATATATTATTATTATTTCGTATCGTACACTGTCCATTGTCTCCCTTCACCCACATTTCTGTTATTCGTCCCCTTCGTGGGGGAGGGCTATATATCCAACCTTGTGATGGGGTCCTTCTTTTTCCCCCTTTCCCCTCCCCAACCATCCCCTACATTCAAGGTACCACTCCTCCCACTACTGCTCCTGAGGGGTTTATCTGTCCTGAATTCCATGTGTCGAGAGCTCTTATCTGTACCAGTGTGTGTTCTCTGGCCTAGCCAGATTTGCAAGGTGAACTGGATCATGGTAGTGGGGGGTGGGGGGAATATTAATCTTATATTCTGCAACTTTGCTAAACTCATTTATTAGTTTTAATTTTTTTGCTTTGTTTTTTTTTTACAAAAATTTCTTAGGCTTTGCTCAATTACAAGATTAAGTCATCTATAAATACACAGAGAGGTAGTCCTTGTCTTAAGACAAGGTTCCACTTTGATGACTTGTAATTTGGTTCAGACTAAATTGAATACCTTCTTTTAAGTTTTCATTATGATGGTCTTTTATTATCAATATCTTTATAAATCCAACCGTTGAATATCTGTAAGTGAACATGTGAGAATGTTAACAACAGCAAATTTCATGCTGCAACAATGTACGACAGATGACTAGAGTTCAGCTATTAAAAAGCACAGATGGTCCTACACGTGGTTTGATGTAATGTGAATATATTTTAAGTCAGGGGTCCTCAAACTTTTTAAACAGGGGGCCAGTTCACTCTCCCTCAGACCCATTGGAGGGCTGGACGATAGTTTGAAAAAAACCAACTATGAACAAATTCCTATGCACACTGCACATATCTTATTTTGAAGTAAAAAAACAAAAGGGGGAGAAAACACCTGACAGGCCGGATAAATGTTCTCAGTGGGCTGCATGTGGCCCGTGGGCCGTAGTTTGAGGACCCCTGTAAGTCATTGACTATCTGTAGTTTATTTCTTCGACTCTTTTCTGAATGCCTTTTATTTTCTGTCCTAGTTGCTCTGGCTACAGCTTCCAGTAACGTGTTAAGAGTGTCAAGAGAAGCCATCTGGTCTTATTCCTAATCTTAGTGGGGGCAGCATTCAGTTTGTCACGATGAAGTATGATGCTGGCCATGAGTATCAAGATAATTTATACTGTCTGGCGGTACTGTGGCCTGCTGATTACGTGTTGGGCTGCTTACCACAAGGTTAGCAGTTCGAAACTACAAGTATCTCCTCAGGAGAAAGATGAGGCTTTCTACTCTCATAGAGTTCCTAAGTCAGAAACTCACAGGGGAAGCTCCAACCTAATCTTCAGGGTGGTTATGAGCAAGCACCAACCCGATAGCAGTGAGTTTGGATTTTGGTTTTTTGGTGGTACTGCGGGCTACTAACCTCCAAGGCAGCACTTCAAATGCACCAGACATTTTTTCGGGAGAAAAATAGGCTGTCTGCTCCCGTAAAGATCTCCAGCCTCATGAACCGCTACACAGGGTTGCTATGAATTGGATTTGATTCCTTAGCAGTGGGGTTGGTTTTAGGTAACACCATCAATTGTGCTTTGGTGTACAGTGGCTTCATCTCTCTGCGGAACACTCATTCACTGTCAGGCCATCTCCTGACTACAGTGTAGAAGAGTCAGCATATGTAGGGCACAGGATCCTGATCTTAACATTTTTACTCATATCACTGTGACAGGCACGGCAGTTCAGTAATACAGAAAGGCTTCAAACAGGCAGAGAGAAGGGAAGCCACTGCTGGAAAACAGCCAAAGTCTTCAATTATGGAAATGTGTTCATCGTGTAACTTAAAATAGGGCCCCTGATAGATTTGGTTATACATAATTTATATTTATGTCTCTGACACTGGAAAATATGCCCATGCATCCAAAAGTAGCTGAATTTTCATCTATTACCGAGAGTAGCACAAGCGACTGTCCAGCCTTACTTTGCAGCGCCTCCTTCATCCTTGCCTTGTGATTGGCGGCATGATACCAGGTGATCTCCGCGCCATCTCTCGCTGTAATCTGGTTATTTCTCAGAAAATATTCCAGGACGTTTTCACTCCAAGACCCTAAAATAACAGCATTCACATGTAAGGGAATACGTTCTTTGTGGAGGAAGACATTTGTTTCCAATCAAAGAAGGCAGAGGAGATGCTGAAGGGGAATGAGGGGATCAGACTGGGAAACGATTTTGAAGATTTTGAAAAGGAAGAACACGCATTATGATGTGGCAGTCATGATATTGATAGATGTGTCTTTTAGTAACTGTGTGTCATGTAACGTAACAATTCATAACCCATAGTCTATACCCCTTACCCCACTGCTGCCTAGTGGATTCTGACTCATAGTGACCCCGTGTGTGTGTTTTTAACAGTTTTATTTGCATATAGTTTCACATATCATAAAATTCAATAGTTCAATCATATTAAGAAGAGTTGTACAATAATCACTAAAATCAGCTTTTGAATCTTTTCTTTGTTCTTGTACTCATAGTTATTTCCCCCCAATCTCTCTTGCCATATCCCTAAGTAACCATTAATCCAGTTATTGTCTTTATAGATTTACCTATTCTGGATTCATATACAGAACAATATTAAAAACAAAAACAAAAAATTAACAATAGCAAAGTAAAATGGTTAAAAGCCTCAATAGAGAAAATAATAAAAACTAGAACAAATTTAAATAGACCACAAGGGAAATCAAATACTAGGGTGCTCAATTTTAACCTAAGTGCATCTGCAACAATCCACTGTCTAATGCATTCTGCATGGTAGCAGGGCTATTCACATCCCTGGCCCATGATCAAAGGGGATCTTCCAGGAGCTTAATCCACAGGTACTTCCCCTTTGCATTTTTAAAAATTGAAACATCTTTAAAACGAGTCTAAAGGGAGATCAAATGATAAGATATTACATTTTAACCTAACCACGTCTATCATAATCGACTTTACAACGCTCTCTGTCTGATAACAGAGCTATTCACATATCTCAACTATAAGTGGAGGGTTTTTTCTGTCTATGAGATCTGGGATAGGTAAATCTATAGAGACGGTAACTGGATTAGTGGTCCCGTGGGGGAACAGCAGGGGAGGTTGGGGGGAAATGGGGAACTAATAACGCTGAGTACAAGAATGAAGAAAATGTTCTAAAACTGATTGTGGTGTTGATTGTACAACTATTCTTGATGTGACTGAATTGTTGAATAGTATGATCTGTGAATAACACTGTTGGGGGGAAAACCAATACATTTCAAAGAATACTTTTCCTTTCACCTATCTGCACTGACAAAACATCTTTCTAGTTTACCATTTCACTAAACATGAAACCCAAAAAAAAGAACTCAATAGGAAAAAAAGCAGAAAATATTAAAACCAGAACAAATTTAAAATAGATGAAAAGAGAGATCAAATGAGAAGGTGTTAAGTTTTAACCTAACCAAATCTGCAATAATCCACTTTCTAATGCATCCTGAATGTCAGCAAGGCTATTCACATCCCTGGTGTATCATCAGAGGGGATTCACCAAGGCAGCGGTTCTCAACCTGTGGGTTGCAACCTCTTTGGGGGATTGAAGGATCCTTTCACAGGGGTTGCCAGATTCTTAAAAGTAGCAAAATTACAGTTATGAAGTAGCAATGGATTCTGGGCTTCCAATGTCATCCACAACCTTCTGCAAATCAGGTGTTCAGAACTTAATCTCTGATACCATCCCTCCATCTGATTTGGATTATATTATTTATAATCCTCGGATCACACAGGCTGGTGTGCTTCTTCCATGTGAATTTAGTTGACACCTCACTTAGATGGTTACTTGTTAAAGACAAGACTTTAAGAGCCTAGAAGCTATTCCTTCTGGTAGCCGGGCACCATATAGTTTCTTCACTACACTTTGCTATAGCACTCACATCTTCAGTGATTTATTCATGAGGGTGAGTGTCAAGCAGGGCCATGGCATAAGAACTAATTGTTCTTAGATTTGGACTAGAATTAAGTGCAAGTCCCAATGCCATTCGTGCATCTATAGTTTATATGTGTCTCTTGTTCATCGTAGAGACATTATTGTCATTTTATGTTATAGACCATTATCAATCATCCCCCCAGGGATATCACTTGGCTGTGGGTTTTCGGATGGCTGTGACTTTCTGTATTAAACTGGTTGTTTTGTAAGGCACATTAGTTATTGGATATAACTGAAATGCTAATTGGAAAGTAGTAAAATCTAAGAATATCCAGTGATGAATTATATGGCTCTTTAAAATTAAGTTTTTGAGCAATGCCAGATGACTAAGAGAAACAGCAATCGTGTGCTACCAGGGGAAGAAAAAGTTAATTCTAGTGAATGTTTCCCTGAAACCTTCCAATTAAACACTGCATTTCAATTTTTAATAAAAGTAACTTAGAAATTCCCGTCACTGTGGAATTAAAAACATTACAAATGGCAAGTTTTCCTTCCCCTTTTGATGGGCTTCAGTTTGGTTGCTGCCTTGGCCTTTGGCACGCCGCATATTCCTTCAGAATGTACAGGGCTCCAGTCACCTGTGGTTTGGTGCATCGTTATAACTGTTTTCAGGTAGGTGACCAGCTTGAAGAACGGACAAGTCAGCAGTAGAAGAAACACAAGCCCAAGGCTCCTGAGAAGAAATGATGGTGAGAGTTGGGCTTGCTTAATTTGCACATCATCAGGAAAAGACCAACTGAGGACCAAGATGATGGTGTTAGACCAGTCAAGGCTGGATTCTGTTTGAAATAAAGTCACTATGAGTTGGAGCCAACTTGATGGTCACTCACAATAGCAGTGAGTTTTAATAAGAAAAAAAATGAGCTAATTATGAACCCTCACAGCCAGTACAACACTGGCAGTACGACACAGAAAAGGAACAAATTCTGAATTCCTTATGAGCTCTTGTAGGATCCATCTGGATGGAATCAAACTCATCTAACAGCAACTCAAAAGAGTGAATTGGAATATCTTACACAATCCTATCTATCTATTCACATACAAAAACCCAACTATCATATTTTTTAAAAAGGGTTCCTGGGGGAGGTGGGGGGATACAGTGGAGAAGGGAAGGGTCAAAGGGGGGGCCATTAACAAGGAGTTCAGGAGAAAGAAAATATTTTGAACCTGATTGTGGTAGCAATTGTACAATACTGCTTGATGTTGAACCTGATTGTGGTAGCAATTGTACAATACTGCTTGATGTTGAACCTGATTGTGGTAGCAATTGTACAATACTGCTTGACGTGACTGAAGGGTGGATGTTATGCTAGCTGTAAGAACTCCCAATAAAACGTTTAAAAAAGATTAAATTGGAAACTTTGCGGGCAGCGAGTTTATGTCAGTGGGGAGGAGTCACTTGGGAATGGAGTGGAGAACGGTTGCACAACTCAAAGAATATAATCAATGACACTGAATAGTACATATAACCAAACCAAACGCACTGTGATCGGGTCAATTCTCAGTCACTGCCACCCAACAGGACAGGACAGAACTTCCTCTGCGGGTGTCCAAGACGGAAACTTTTTTTTTTAATCATTTTATTAGGGGCTCATACAACTCTTATCACGATCCATACATACATCAATTGTGTAAAGCACATTTGTACATTCTTTGTCCTCATTATTCTCAAAACATTTGCTCTCCACCTAAGCCCC